GTCAAGTTTGTAGTGGCAGGAGACAAGATTTGTGACTGACATAAGTTAGGAATTTAAATAATATAATTTTAGATCAAGACAATATTCACTTAAAATTCTTATATTAATGTAAAGTTACACTGAAGTATATAATAAAAAAATTAATTATTTTTTTTTAGATTTTATATTTAGAATGAAGTATAGCTTGACAAGAAGTACTGGAGCTGACGGTGAGAGTCGCCATTTTCTCCGAGTCGGCTTAGGAATAAAATACAACGTACACTAATTGCGATGAACAAAGTAAATTACAAAATAAAGAATTTAGCAGTATAATATCTTACTTACTACCGTAGGTTGCAGAATAACAAGAATTGAATAAAAGTGTCGGCACTGGAGAAATATGCCCATGGCCTGTTGCCGAAACTTGTACTTTTCGTGACTTGATTCCATAAGGGATCCGGCTTTTTGAACCCGATCTTTTCATAACTGACGATTGACTAAGATAAGATAGTTTCTGGCCTTATTGCAAGGTCCGTAAGGTGCTAGGCAATTCAAGACTGAACATATGCTGCTGCATAGCTTCGTCTAGTCTGTTCTTGAAGGCGTTCATTATCGGAGCGTCAACTATGTTTTCAGGGAGGCTGTTCCACATGTCGGTGATTCGAAGCGAGAAGAAATGTTGTCGCAAGGATGTGTTAGTATTTTAACAACGCAGTTTTTTAGTTTATAGCCGTGGCCACTGGTATTGGTTCTTGTTTCAAATTCTAGGAGTCATTCTGCGACCGTGTATAAACCGTGGGTATACTTGTATACTTCAATGAGACGCAGACGTCGATAATGGAGGTTTGGAAGCTTCATAATTCTTAATCCTTCTTCATAAGGCTTGCATTTAAATCCCGGAAATTTCCCACGTCTTTGAACACTCGATTAAATTTTTGTCCTGCGACAAATTTTTTTTTGCGACAAATAACAGCTTCATCGCTTCTGCATCTATTTACTCGTAAGAGCGTCTGATCAGTCCAAATCGTTTATTGGCTTTATTAACTTGAGCTTCAATATACTTAGAAAATTTCAACTCTCTGGCGTTGCAACCGTGTCTTCTCATACTGTAATCTTGCTGTTCATTATTCTTGACATGGTGGATTACTTCACATTTGTCAGCGTTAAACGCAGCTGCCACTATCAGCCCAGTCAACCAGCCTGTCAAGATCACCGTGCAACTTTACTTTTTGCGACGCATTCTTCACTGTATTATAAATTTGTATGTCGTCAGCATACACCACCGAGCACACGCCAGACACAGCTTCTGGCAGATCGTTTATAAACGCAACGAATAAAACAGACCCGAGAACGCTTCCTTGTGGCACGCCGCTGCACACTGAAGCCCAGTCTGATACGGACCCATTTATACTGACACGTTGTCGTCTCCCTAATAGAAAATCTCTGATTCATTTGAGTACATTACTCTCAATTCCCATAGACTTCAATTTACGCAACAGCCGCTCATGTGGGACACTGTCAAATGCTTTGGCAAAATCGAGGTACACTGCGTCTACTGGCTCCCTTTCGTACAGCAGGCGGGCCCATTCATCCAGAGTAGACAAGAGGTTATATAGTAGTAAAGGATTTACCGGCAATAAAGCCATGTTGACAGTCTGATAGGAGATTATTAACAGTCAAGTGATCGATCAATCGTTCCCTCACAACAGATCCCATTACCTTGCAAACGGGCTGCTTTTGCCCGGGCAGCTTTTGTCACCTTTTATGAATAATGGTGTCACTTGAACCTCTTCCCAGTCAGCCGGCAAGATCCATTCGTTCAAAGTTTTTCCAAAAAATGACGTGAAAGGCCCGACTAGGACGGTGATCTTTGAGTAATCTAGGATAGAAGCCGTCCTGTCCACATGACTTGTTGGAATTTAGAGCGATCGGGCACTTGAGAACCTCTTCTTCTTGTATTTCAAAACTTGTTAATTTAGAGCCGACTGGGCTCTAATATAGCTGGAATACTGTTCAAGTCCTCTTCAGTGAATACGCTACCGAAAAACTGATTAAGAACGTTAGCCTTGCCTTCATCAGAGGATATCTTTCGTTGATCTACTTTCAAATCAGAAATACCGTCTTTTGTCTTGCACTTCGAGCTAGCGTACAAAAAGAAGTCATGCGGGTTCTTTTTTATTTATGACAATATTTTTTCCAATATTTTTACTGCGGTGCGACAGCTTTCTTTAGCTTGATTTCGAACTCTTGCGTATAGGTTATAATCAGCATTGCTACGAGTCTGTAAATAACGCTGGTATGCTTTCTTCTTGGTTTTCAGCTTGGCTAGAAATTTACTGTTCATCGACTTAGTTTTTTGGCTCCACCGAGCCTAATTTTAGGTACACACGCATCAACTGCAGACATAACCATGTGCTTGAGAAGTGACCATGACTCAGCCACATTCATGTCCTAAGTACAGCTCGAAATATTCACTGCATTCACTGCTTCACGGAGATTATCATAGTCGCCTTTTGCAAAATTAAAACGTTTTTTCTGTACAGCACTTAAAACTGAAAAACAATTATTGGTGATGGCTTTTGCCCAATGGAGCCTCGTGACGAAGCTCATTTAACATTGATTCATCACTAGTAAACACCTAGTCCAGAATATTGGGAGTTTGTTTACTCCTATAATGGGTTGGCTTGGTAGGTGATGGACTAGAAAGGAGTCTCTCTCAGACTCCATAAACAAGGATGCTGGGTGATTCCCATCTCTTGGATTGGGTCCTTCTGTCCAGTCTAGTTCTGGATAATTAAAATTACCAACGATCAACGTGTGTGACTTACTGAAAGTCATGTTCGGTAAATGACTGTTTAGTACTTTATCGTTATCAGATGAACTATTTGGTGATCTATACACGACGCCTATATGAGGAGGCCATCTTTGCCATTGAGAGAAAGTTCGCACCACACTGATTCTCTAGCTGATTGCTGCTCTGCAGATAACTTAACTTGCTGTGCCCCATAACAGGCCGTAAGAGGTTCTTACCTACAGAGCTACACCTCTACTGCACTGCTCTTCATTCAAGTTATGAAAACGATCAAAACCTGGAAACTGAACTTCAACAGGTACAATTTTCCCCACGTTATTTTTAGGGAGTTTCTGTAATACAAATATTGTCTATGCACTCGTTTGCGATCACAGTTAACAGTTTACTTTTTTGTTCCGAGTTCGGGTAAAAACATTTATAAACTTTTTCTGCACTTTCACTCTGATGTATGCGGTTACTGCTTACATTATTTACAGTCCTGGAACTATGGACATGACTTCTTACTTGTCTTCTAGCTCCGCTAACTGACCGTGTACGGCCGGTGTTTTCTTGGCATCGTGAGAGGGGTTGACCTGAGTTTTCGTGCTTTGCCGCCTGATTATATCCTGCCACTTCTTGCGAAAATCCGCTCTCTCTAAAGGGATAGCATCCTTCTTTACAAAGGATTAAACTCTAGAAATTCATTTAGTCAACAGCAGCGGTCCACAGGTGGTAGCGTTTTTCGATTGCAGCCTCTTGCATGCCGTTATATTCACAACGACGTTAAGTGCCTGGGCATAACAATCATCAATAAACGCACCGTCCGAAGCATTACTTTCGGGAACGCCATACCAAACAAAGTTAAGTCTTCTCTCTCTGTCCAGCAGCTTATGAGTGCTCTCGCTGGCAAGATCAGAGATGACCTCTTTGTGCCAGTACCTTCTGTGTTATTACTTTTTTTTCTGTTTTGTGCTGATGACTTTTTATTTCCACCAGCTCTATTCGTAACGAGTGTAATTCGCTACGCAGCAAGCTCAAATCTTTCTTGTGGTTCTCCTCCATTTCAGCTCTCTTTCTCAACTCTTTCTTGTGAGTTTCTTCCATTTCAGTTAAAGACTTAGAACATAGAAGAGCATTTCTCTCCCGCCATATTTTCGCTATTTACAGTGCTAAGCGCAGGTTGTTGGCAGTCCTGGCAATACTAGTGTACTCTTTCGTTTCTGCGAATAACTTAGCAATTTGCCTTGCTCAACTTTGCACAACTGTTGCAGATGATATCTCCGCAACGATTACAGGCCGCTGTAGCGTCATCGATGTTAACCGAAACCAGCGTGCAAAATTTACAAATTTTTCTTCGCCCATTTTGTGAATTGAATAAGTAATACCTGTTATTGTTGAAAATCAACAAATGAACTTGTTGCGCAATAATTTAGTTCTATATTAATTTTCTCTTAAGGCTCAATAAATTAATTCTATATTAATTTTCTCTTAAAACTTTTTCACAGATACTCTTTACATACTAGTTATGGGGGGATTCGCGTGATACGAGTTTTCAAGTTTTCTTGAAAATTCTCATTTCAGGTGATGAACGGCACTTGTAACAAAGCATGGAAATATGGGGATACAACTTTTATGATAAATTAATTGCATAAACACATATATGTATAATACATTACACTAGCAATAAATGTCAAGCGACTTTCGTAAACCCTAATTTGATCGGACCTGGTGGACCGATCGGCTTTGAAAGTAATTTTTAGTAACGTATATAGGCAAATTGTAATTCATGTAACAAGTATATATGATAAGAGAGATACTTTGAAGTTTCTTAATGTTACCAGCACTGAAATCTATGCGGAAACATTAATTTTAAATATATATTAGACATATAATGACCTAAAACCTGACTTCAATACGTTGGTACTTTTATTTTGAAAAATTTACATATCCTATTGGTTGAACTATTGTTGATGGCCGACGCTGTCTTTTGTTTACTTAGTACACGGTTGTGTCCTCCGAGGACTGGTGCTGGTGTGCTGTAGAATGGTCCGTTGGTAGGTCCGAAATCTCAAAATACTATGTTCATTTATATTAACTATAGACTTGCTCCATGTCTGTCTAAGTTTAGTGAAACTACTAACCAGGCTTTCAACGATCTTCAATGCTTTCATAAACATTTTTAATTTTCTATCGTTTGCTCAACGGGCAGGTTGTTGATAATTTAGCTGCAATGGGTGTCCCCAAGTTTTACAGATGGATTAGCAAGAGGTATCCTACAATCGTTGAAAATGTCAGACCTGATCAGGTATGTGGTTGTTATGCTCAAAAGCTGAACTCTGAAGCAAACTATAATATACTAAATTATGGCATTAGAAAATGGTCAGTTTCTAATAATTTGATATAAAAACTCTGATTACTTTATTGTTTCTACTTTTTATTTGCAAAAGTTAAAAACACAAATATATACAATGTCCATGTATTGTATTTCTCTTTGTTGCGTTATTTTTATACCTAAATTAAATACGTTTTACATAAAATTTTTAATTTCTGAAATGTTGATATGAAGCATTCTACAAATGGATTCCTTACTTACAGGTTCCTGATTTTGATAATCTCTACTTGGACATGAATGGCATCATCCACTCGTGCTCTCATCCAGATGAGGCTGATCCTTGCTTCAGGATCACTGAAGAACAGATATTCGAAGATATATTCCATTACATTGAGGTATGAAGAAAGATAACGATGATTACACAATTAATGTTCCCATGAAAACCATCACCTAATGTTGCATTTTTTATACATGTTTATTATTTTTAACATTGTCATTGTTTACAGTCTCTGTTCTGCATGATACGCCCCAAGAAAGTGTTTTTCCTGGCTATTGACGGTGTTGCTCCTAGAGCCAAAATGGGCCAAATGAGAAGTGGAAGGTATGCCAACCCTGAACATTGGGTGATTTGGTGTGTTATTGCATGTAAACTATTGGAAGGAACAAATTATTATTGGTGCTTCTCGGTAGTCCTTTTATTTGTTTATTCACTTTAACACCGACAGACTTGTCTTTATGTTTGGAGAAAAATAGTCTCATCAAATATTCAATGGTCTGCCCAGACTTCGTTTCAGGTCATAAATTTTTCTTTCCCAATATTCTTAAATAAAAATTTAGGATTCTCTCTTCTCTCAAGTCTCAAAATAAACAAATTAATAATATGTACTCCAATTTTGTGTATGATTGCTGCAGGTTTTCCCGCTGCCAAGGTGATGAGAAATCAAAAACTGCAGCCACAGAAAAGGGCAAAATTTTGCCCCCAGGAGAGCCCTTTGATCCGAACTGCATCACTCCCGGCACAGAGTTCATGGATCGCCTGGACCA